CGCATGTCTAAGACTTATCCTTACTCACACCATCAGACTGAGCCACATGCTCATCATTCTTCTGGTTGAGACTTCCGTTTGCTCATAACACATATAAGACTTCCTATGCTCACACCATCAGACTGATTCGCCTGCTCATTTGTCTTATGGTTGAGACTTTCCTTTGCTTAGAGTACATGTCTAAGACTTCCTTTACTCACACCATTAGACGGAGTTGTCTGCTTATCTGTCCTCTGGTTGGGACTTATCTTTGCTTATATCACACATATAAGACATTCTTTTTGCTCAATCAGACTAGCTGAATAAGACTTTAACATCTCAAGCACTTAAGAAATGAGACTTACGTGGCTTAAGCATCTTGGCTCAAGACTTGTTGCTTGAATCCCAATGAGACAAGACTTTTTGCTTTATCACATAGCAGGAGACTTAATCTAAACTATCGAAGGCTCAGCAGAATAGAGAATAAGGTGTACATGATGCACGCATCAGAGGTACGGGAGATCACCATAATAAAGACCTAAAACACTTAAGATTTCTTAATATATACAGGTGTAAGAAATCTTGAGGCTTTTACAATTACAACCTAAAACAGAAAATCTGCATATTACATATAGTTGATAATTACTTGATCTTACTACTCTTTCAACAGAATAATTCTTGTTAAAAATTCAGGCTTGAATCTTCAGCCATATGTATAGCTTTTCAGAAACTAGCCATTGAGAAGGTGACTTGATCAAGTGTCTTTGCTTTTACTCCATAGTATAAAAGACGTTGAAGATGGATGCACAAAAGATTTCAGAAACCAGTATGTAACACGTTTAACTTTTGTGTCTTTAAGAGGTTCTATACCAATAGAGACATTGGGAGCAGACATCCATAGAATGTACCAACTTTTCTTGAGCCTTGCAATCTTGTAGACTTAAGCTGACAGGCTAATAAGATAACACAACATGCCTTCGATAGTACGAATAGTCCATAACTTTATCACCAACTCTAAATGGTACTAGAAGCTGATATACAATTACTAAGTGTAGAAACTTGTCTGAATGCTGAGGCCTTCAGTTCATAGTCTTCGTCAAACCACACTAGGAATTGTTCTTCAGACTCTGCCACCAGAAGCTAGCAATGGAGCAACTCCAAATGTATCTTAAGTAAAACAAATTCCAATTATTAATGTACAAGAACCTGCATAAATAAAACACATCAAATAAACCTTTGTTCTTTTAATACTTTTATTATCATCAAAACTAAAAGAGAATATGTCAAGAACAAATTTTGTTCTAACAAAGACAAGTCCCACTTCCTGCATGCAAAAATTTCATTTGTGAGGTTTACATAATATGTTTCAATGCCATTTGTCACTACAAAAATGGCCCATTCATCATCCTCATGCCATGTAGATGACCAACTCCTTGTAGCATTCTTGTTCTTCTCAAGTATCAATTGAATCCTTGGACAAATTTCTCCAGCATACTTAGACATCACCTTCTTCTGAGTAGTAATCCTTTTTGTCAGATAATGTTTAATCCCTTCTAATAAGGTGATTATATGTTTGTCTATATGTTCTAAAATAGCCATGTTAAATGCTTCACACATATTGTTCACCTGTAAATGACACTTAGTGTTAGTCTTGAAGTGTGACCTAGCCCAGAATTTGGGAGGGACATCATTCATTTCCGTCCATGCAGCCTCATTTAAAGTTTTAATCCTCAACATTGCTCTTTCCCAACCTAAAATTATTGTAGCCTTTGCAGCACTCAACATAGCTTATTTTAAGTCCATGCTAGGGTACTTCTTTTTCCAATTTCCATATAGGTGCTTCACACATAGCCTTTGCTCAACATTCTCAATAATAGCTTGAACTGCTCTGCCACTCTATTGTCATATTAACAATCCCGGGCGATAAGGGTGTTGGACTCCAGGGAGATAAATCACTCCAAAACCTGAATCACTTCACGGTCCAAAGGACAAAAGACACACAAGTCCACCCTTGATGTGAATATGGGATCATGAGTCCAAGTTAAGGGGAACAAAGGCTCGCCTCCCGCTCCCGTGACAACACAAGAAGTATTATCATGCCTTCTTATTTGAACTAACCTGTGTTTCAAATCCTCATAAGGATTGGTGAATGGCTTCAAAAATGCACCCCAAGAAATGGGCACAAAGTTACCCAACCATTATTGGGAAGAAACTTCGTTCTATAAAAATACAAACTGATAGAAGGAAACACCCCTAAGTTACAACAAATTATTTGGAAAACCCTAAGTATACCCTAAACATTAGGAATAACCAGGGAGGGGCCACATTGATAGTAGTCAAGAACTCCATTTCAAAAGAAGAGAAAGGAACTAGATACCGAAATCATAGATAACAACAAGATGAAAGGTAAAAGTAAATAGCAAAGGGATCACCAGAGGTATCGATGTGTACCCTTTTATCTCTCAAGCAGTGCTCCATTAGCACATTTATTTCCCGCCTCGTACATAAAAAATTGATACCATGATGAAACTTGTTGAACTTGCCCGTAGCAGAATACAAGGAGTTTATGTCTTACACGTGGATAAACGTAGTTTTCCTCACCATGGTCAATGAAAGTAAGGGTTCAAGAAGACGAAATCTATAGCATAAAGGCTTTTATTAAAAGAAAAGGGGAAGCAAAATGATGCTTTTGAAAAATATATAGGGAAGCCAAGGAAACTGGTTCACACGTTCAGCCAATAGATTGGCACCATAAGCGAAAAAGTATTCATTTTTGAAGGTCACGTGTGAATATGAGAAGTTGATTTTCCTTCCCGAGAAATACTATCATTAAGTGTATTAAATGCTACCCACGCCTCTTCCTCTCAAACACTCAATCTGGCCAAAATGATTGATGTTTGAATGTCTCGGAACATCACCTTAAATTAGGCACATTTCTCAAAGTCTGTTAAGTGCCCATGCCATGTAGGAGCCTGCAAGCTCAAGCACAACTGGGGGACTCACCTACTATTTCACTTGCTATTCATTGAGGGACTCACCTATGAGGGGGGAGAGCCTCCACCAAGCGAGGCCGTTCTTAGTCGAGGGAATCATTGATAGGAAGATGAGTGTATTTCGATGAGGGGAGGGTAGTTTTAAACATTTCACCCTTTAAAGAAAAGCCATCGTTCTTGAGCGACTGTGTAATGTTATATTTGGTAAAATCCTAAACTAGGGTGTCCTCTCCCAACAATTGTGCCATCCAAACAGAATTTAAGGGATTCACCCAATGGGTCCCTTGAACGTGGGAGTCAAGTAAGAAACAGTCCATACTGACTCCTTGAAGAACAAAGTTTAAACAAGTTATAGAGATGAAAGTATACTTAATTTCATAGAATTAAAATTTACATGTCTTTTTTTCCTGAACCTTTAATGAAATCTACAAATGATTTATCTGTTATTATTTCAAATTCATCAATTGATTGTTGTAACTTCAGGCTATGGCTTGTAAAATCTATCATTGAAACATCTTTCCATGTGCGCATGTTTAAATAAAATTAGAGGGTAAAGAAAATACCAAGTATTTCTTGTGGAATTCATTTGGTTTATTTCTCTATACTATGAAGTGAACCTTCCAATATTTTTCATAGTTAATTTTCCATCTTTTCTTAAAAAAGGTGGCAAAGTTAGGAGTTTTAAAACTTTTGGGAAGAGATTCCATTTTATCCCCTCACCTAGGATAAGACTTCATATGAACACGGTTATCCATGAGCTTCAATTGTATCCCAAATAACATGTTGATTGTATCATATATGAGGTCGGGATCTAAGACTTGCTACTTGTGAGGTCTAGCCTTGAATGCAGCTAGTTGTCACCACCCATTTTATGAAGTATTTTAAAAACCATATTGGTGTTGAACATAAGGTAGATTTCCCCTCAATATTTGCTTATAATTCAATTATACTAGGTTTCTTATATGAGTTTCAGATCCGATTGAAGAATTATAATAGTAAGGTAGACTGGTAATGCATGTTAGCTCGCTAACATAACCACCAATTACTCTTGGTAAATTTGAATCCACTAGGGTTATGACTAATGCATCGGATCTTGGAGGTATGTTGTTGGATTAGTCAATCTAGATGGGTAATCAACTCATTGTTTTTCAATCAAATAACCAACATTTTGTCCTTGTGATATTTCTACTAGACCAAAGGCTCGTCCTTCAACATAAAACACATTGTTCATCGAAACAATATTGTCACAAAGAGAAGATTATGACATACAAATGTGTCATACTACTTTAAACGCGCTATTAGCCATACGTATCTATCCAAATTGAATATTAGTTTGATTACTTGTATTACTCTCCATTACTTATAACCAAAGCTAATCATACTATCCAAAACGTCTTTGCCTACAAATCTAGCCTCACTCGACTATTTTCACGGATAATGCACATTTTTTCTTTATATTGTTGGGTGTTGCAGCACCCTACATTTGCCTTGTCTCACTCCCTCCCTCCCTCCCTCCCCCCCTCATCATAAAACGTCACTCTCTAATCACAACCTTGCCATATTATGTCATTGTCAAAAAAAAATTAGATATACATAGTATGCAGGTAATTTTTATTTAATTTGTTTTCACTAATGATATTTCTTTTGTTAAACACATTTAATCAAGTAAATATTTAATTAATCTAAATACGACATCATCTTTAATACAAATAGAATTAAAATTATTCTCATATATACTTTTGTCTCCCTTATTAAATACTTATCATATGTGAATCCGTTTATTATTATTACTACAAAGATAAAATGGATAAGAACAAATATAGTTTTATTATCTTTAAAAAGAATTTTGACTAAGTTATATCCATAATAAATAAAAATAAAAAATGAACTTTCCGATTGCTTCTTAAAACCGGCAACAGTAAATAAAATCGGAATTATAAATACATGTAAAAAGAGATGCAAAATCCATCTTCTTCTCAAATTCGATTCTCTGAATAATTCATTTCGATTCGATTTTCACTCTCGAAAATGGAGAAAGCGATTAACAGACAGAAAGTTTTGCTTCAACATCTCAATCCTTCTTCATCGTCGATCCATGACAACGATTCATCTTCCACCTCTCTCAATGTTTGTTTCTTCCTCTTTTTCTCTTTTCAATTCTCAATTTTCCTTCGATTTTATCGCTTTTTCATCGTTCCCCTTTTTTTTCTTATATTTTTGTTATGCTTTTGTTAAAATTAATTACCTTTTTGATGGTTATTAGCGTAGAATTTTATCAAAGTTCTGATCTTGAATCTGTATGTTTATGTATGTGTATATATGTGCATGAGTATTTGTGTATGGGTGTATGTTTATGATTTGAATGAATTTGTTATGGTAGATTTTAATTTGTGTGTTGAACATTTGATTTCCAGGCTTCAGCTTGTACGGCGGGCGATAGTGCTGCTTATCACAGGAAGGCTTCATTTGGGGATGATGTAGTGATTGTAGCGTGAGTTTAGCTATTACTTGGACTTATTTTTTTCCATTTAATATGTGTTTTTTATTTGATAATTGATATAGGAGGCGTGTGGAAAAAACTTATTTGAGCTTAGGTTATGATATAACCACTTATGTAAGTGATTGGATTGGAAGAGCTTAAAAAAATAAGCTGTAATACTATAGACGCGCACAATATTTTTGGCTTGTTTTTGAGATTTTCATAGACTGGCTATAGAAACAACTTATTTTATATAGAGGTTATCCGGAACTTCTCTTCATTTTCTCTTCAATTGTAGATACCACTTATACATAAAACATTTATAGGATAGATGTTTATTAACTAAATGTCTTGTTGTCTTCAACTATGAATTTAGAAGCAATGTGTTTGAGGGATCTCTTAATTTTTATCTTAAAAGGTAGTTATGTTATGTGCTTGCAGTGCATATCGGACTGCTCAATGCAAAGCTAAACGGGGTGGTTTCAAAGACACTCATCCCGACGATCTCCTAGCTCCTGTTTTGAAGGTTTTGTTATTTTTAATTTCTTATTCGTTTTTGCTACTTTGGTTCATATGGTCTGTTAATGTACATCCATCTACGTCAGAGTGATGATGAGGTTTCATTGTAGGCTGTAGTAGAGAAAACCAACTTGAACCCAAGTGAAGTTGGTGATATTGTTGTGGGTTCTGTATTGGGAGCTGGATCTCAAAGAGCTAGTGAATGCCGTATGGCTGCATTTTATGCTGGTTTTCCTGGTATGTCTAGTTGATTTGTGTAACTGAACCTGATCAATGATTCTGATTAGTTACTTACATGTTATGTTTTTTTGGCCATCCAGAAACCGTGCCTGTTAGGACTGTTAACAGGCAATGTTCATCTGGGCTCCAAGCTGTTGCTGATGTAGCTGCTGCTATAAGGGCTGGATTTTATGATATTGGTAAAGGATGCATCAAATTGTTTTGTACTTTTTGTGATTGCAATAACTTTCTATATATATTTACCTTCAACTATGTTTTGCTTAGGTATTGGTGCCGGTTTGGAATCCATGACAACTAATCCAATGGCATGGGATGGATCAGTGAATCCTAGAGTATATTCCCAGTTTTTTCTAACTTCATTTCATTTGGCAAATTAATTGAATCATTTATTTATTTGTTTATTTTTGGTTTCTGGAAATAAAACCTTCAGGGTACATGGTTGTAATATTTCTTTGTTGTCATAGGTGGAAATGTTTGAAAAAGCCCAAAGCTGCCTTCTTCCAATGGGGATCACCTCTGAAAATGTTGCCAATCGCTTTGGGGTTTCAAGGAAAGAACAAGATGAAGCTGCTGTAAGTTGAATATATCTTAAAATGCAACATTAAGTTCTCTTATTTTTTATTTAACTTTAGCACACCTTAACTGAATCTTGTTGATGTCTATGAGGTGTTAGCTTAGTGGTAACTAAAACTTTAATATTGTAACCTCAAGGGGCAGAGTTCAAATCTCGTCAGGGACAATTGTAAAATAGTCCTTTATTTCCCTTTTCCCAATTTCTCTTTTAAAAACTGAATCTTGTTGATAATCTTGTTGGTAGGTTGAGTCTCACAAGCGAGCTGCCGCAGCTACTGCTTCTGGTAGATTTAAAGATGAAATCATACCAGTTTCCACCAAGGTATTTTCCACCATAAGGGTATATTGAATCTTCCTTTAAAATATTAGGTACTGAATTAGACTTTTCCTTCAATAGATCGTGGACCCAAAAACTGGCGAGGAGAAATCTATCACCGTTTCGGTTGATGATGGAATTCGACCTAACGCAACATTAGCGGACCTAGCAAAGCTTAAAGCTGTATTCAAGAAAGACGGAACCACCACTGCTGGTATATAAGATCATAAAAATGTGATTCGTTTCCTTAAATTCTTTCTATTTATTAGAACATTATTTAATCATTTGATTTGGTGTCTGTGTTTTAGGTAATTCTAGCCAAATGAGTGATGGTGCTGGGGCTGTTTTGCTGATGAAAAGAAGTCTTGCAGTGCAAAAGGGGTTACCCATTCTTGGTGTATTCAGGTACTAATTGGTAGCATAAAAGTTATAATCCCTGACACTATATGCCGATTTTAAATTGGTATACTGTTTAAGGAAGGCCTAGTAGATTGCCCCGCTCATTAACATAATGTTATAAATTAGAAAATATGTATACAGGAAATGTGTAATAATTTTTGGACAAATATCAAATCAGTGGTAATTTGTCAGAGTGTTGTAGTGACAGTTAAATCTAACCGTTTAAAAATTATATAACTACCCCATGTTATTATTTTAAAAATTACATAACTTCCTGTTTTTTGTATATCAGGGAGAAGGTTTTATTGGTGGGTTACACACCCACTTTTATGTTCCACATACTTTTTGGTTGTTATAAATGGTGGACAAGAACCATTAAGTGTTGTTTCCTTCATATGTTCTTTTCCTACTCCTAAAGTCCAAAGTTCAAAACAATATATAAAATCCACCTGTTTTCTTTTCTCTCCATTTTATCACCTACAACAATCTCCTTGCATCCAAACAATTGTGAATGAATCTTATTCCATTCTAAAAATCGTCGCATTGCAAAATTGATATGGAAAATTCTTTATTCAAATCTGAAGGACGTTATTTGTTGGTTGTCATGTAGGAGTTTCGTTGCTGTGGGTGTTGATCCGGCCATCATGGGTGTTGGCCCAGCTGCTGCAATTCCAGTTGCTGTGAAGGCTGCAGGTCTAGAGCTTGATGATATCGATCTATTTGAAATAAATGAGGTATTTAACTAATGTCCTTATCTTTTTTCTCAGCATTTGTTTATGTTCTAACTTCAATGATTTGCATATATTCAGGCATTTGCTTCCCAGTTCGTATATTGCCGTAACAAGCTAGGACTTGATTCACAAAAGATCAATGTTAATGGAGGTGCAATGGCAATTGGGCATCCTTTGGGAGCAACAGGTATATACCATAATTCAACACATCTATTTTCACATTCCAAAAGCTACAGCTCCATTACTGAATAATGAACCTTTAAATTTTATCATATACTTTTTTCCTTTTTGTTTTGAAAGTTACCAATTGTTTGCCACATACGACCTCGCCTACAGCTAAAATAACCCAATAGTTTTATGTATTTTCAAACACAACTGTAATATGCCTTGGAACATCGAGCTATGAGATGTGAGAGCTCAGACTTGAACAATAATGGCATAAACTGTACATCATAAGTATTCATTTTGATTTATTTAGTTTTATTTTTGTGATCTAGGTGCTCGTTGTGTAGCAACTCTTTTACATGAAATGAAGCGACGTGGCAAGGACTGTCGATTTGGAGTAATATCTATGTGCATTGGTACGCTCCACTTTCTCACTGTGCGATGCGAATGATTTTGAAAACCTTATAGTTAATATTGTTTGTTTTAAATTGTGATTAGGTACCGGAATGGGGGCAGCTGCTGTTTTTGAGAGAGGTGATTCCGTTGATGAGCTTCGCAACGCCCGCGTAGGGAACAACCTTCACTTAAGTAAGGATGCTCGCTAGAATTAATTACGCGGTACACATGTCTACTCGGTCAATATGACTACATTAAGAAATTAAAATAAAAGCTTTGTCTGTGATATAGTGAAAATGTCAATGACTGGGCAATAATTTTATACTTTCTATTCAAGCTTTTTGTTTTTACCTTACCAGGAGAGTCTGTGTTTGGTAAAATTTATTGTATGAAAGGAAAAACTAATAAATAATGCAATATCATATTTTATCGCGTGTTTCTTCATTGAGAAAAGTTGTTTCTGAATTACTTTACAAGAGAGTGACAGCATTCTGGATTTGAACATGGATTGCTCATTTAGTTTAGAGAAGTTTATGCAATAATGTAGAAGAAAATATGTTCATTATTGAATTATTGAGTTCTACAAATGATATACGCAACGAAAAATGCATATAAATAACATGTAATGATCATTTGGAACGTGTAATTTTAGTTTTATTTTAATTATTTTAGAAGTAAAAGATTTTTGATAACATATTAAAGTTAATATGTACAGCAAATGTAGATTGGTCTAGTTGGTAAGAATTCAGTTTGTCTTGCAATGACTGAGTCTGAATTTCACAATCGATCTTGTTGGTATTATTTGATAATAAATAATGTAATTCTATATGCCTTCAGAATCTTAGAGCTTTTGAGATTACGAACAAATCAAAAACTGCTTATTTCAATTATTTCCATCGGAAAACCTTCAAGAGTTCCTCCACGGCTTCCATTAGGTTAGGTGCGGGGCCGCACCTTTAAAATTCAAAATTTTATCTTATAGAATAACATTTATTTTCTCTCGTCTATGGGTAAATTTATTTAATAGAAAATTAATAAATAACTGTTTGTCTTTTAAATTGAAAAAGAATTTAGTTACTTAAAAGATTGACTATACTGATTGTAACACTCCTAAGAGCAACTTTAGTGCAGGGTTGTTAAACCAAAATTTTGTATAGCTTACGTTAGTAATAAAGAATTTGTATTATGGTAGAGTTGAAATGGCATCTAAGTGAACTAAAATTCAGTTCCCATCATCTATATAGTTAACGTTAATTATGTGAAATATATTATAATATTATTTATTTAATTAATAAAATATTTCAACAGCATTAAAGTAATGACATGATATTTGAAAATAGTGGGGTTAAGTTTTGGTTTCTTATAGACAACCATGATTAAAGTAAAAACTATTCAAATCAACTATAAATTTTTTAAATCCTACAAAACACTTTGGACCCACAAAAAATATCTTAGTTTACTCATTTAGTTTACTCTCATTAAAGATGCTCTAAGACATGTGTTAGTAAATCTTAAAATAAAATTTGAAAAATAGTGAATACTTCGGCAGTATTCATGATCTAACAATTAACAATTTAAAATATTCAAAGAAAGTAAATTGCAAAAACTTAATCAAAAGTAAGTAAATGCATTGAAAATAATTTGGAGAATAAAGAAGATAAACATGTGGTAAAAAGATAAAATTTGAATTAAAGTGTAAATAATGATGTTTTGTCAAACATACATTTTCTCGACACACCCTTTTTTCTGCACATTTTGAATAATTTTAGAAATTTTCTACAATTTTAGACTTTCTATTTATAATGATCGAAATAATTGTCCCTAACAGACTTCTTACAAAAATAAGACAAGTGACGCTCGACATGTCTTCTTTTTTTGAAAATGCTCCATGTGTCTCTTTCAAAAATATGGATAAGAACAAAGTTCCCTCTTTCATTTGAATTCAAATCTTACGTCGAAAACACCATCACTAATTCTCTGTCGAATCAACTTCTAAGACTTAGAATATTTTTCCAAATCCGTTCAATATATCCTCCTTGTACAAAAAGGTGACTTCAATAAAAAATAATCAGGTTTCACAATTTTGTCGTAGCTTCTCACAACTTCATATAAATTATTTTTCTTTATTGTTTCCATTAATCCAAACTAAACGTCAAATTTGAGAGCTAACAAATTGCCTCCAAAAATGTCATTTTCGACATCACGGAAGAAAAAGACATTTTTTGACAGTCTTATTTGACGTCTCAAATGATCCATGTGCGACTCGACATTTCTGATGAATCAATGTTATAAAATGGTTCTCCTTTTGTAGCACGCCTATGACGTCATGGTCATGATTACACTTTTCTGAAACGTCCCCTCAACCCACGTGAAAATCTTTGTCATCATCACGTATTCCAGACCCTAGGAGATCATGGGGCTAGGTATTAACTGTCACTGTTTCATCAAGGATAGCGGGAAGAACACATGTCCCACTTCAATTTTAACCATTAATGCCATTTTAGAACTGTTTTCACTTCCATCCTTATAAATACTTCATTTCTTATTTCTTTTCACTTTTTACGTTTTCTGAACTCCCATCTTCACAATATTCTTCTACCTCAAAGAACCCAGTTATTTTCTCTTCACATTTGAACAATGGCTTCATCAACCCGATCCACCAAAGATGTCAACAAAGCTACTAAGGAATCCACTAAGCTTGTGAAGGTTCCTAAAAATATTTTTTAACTTCCTCCATTTGACACGATCGCTGGTCCAACTATGACGGGTAATCAACAATAACTGCCTGAACCACTTGCTGAGAAAAAGAGAAGAATTTATTACTCACATGTACTCATTCCTCTTACTGTTGCTAGTAAGTCTTTGACTTTATTAGGTCTTTTATCTGATGTTGATGCTGATCCTAGCAAACTTAAGGATTCTTTCCAACTTACGATAAATACAAACCCATAGGTCATGCCAAAAAATCTAGGGCTAGTAATGAGGACCCCAATCCCGCTAATTAGAGCAACCCTCAAACTGAAGAGGCAGTTGACCTTAGGTACATGAATAATTTTAGGGTATTTCGAGCAAGCTCGTCTTTTATGGACCCCTCTGGTTATCTAGAATGGCTAGAGAAATTAGAGAAAACAAAGTCCCAAATCTGCAAAGAGATGGGCATTTTTTATTTGATCATGCTGTCAAAAGTAGACCCTGACTATTGTTCAAACATGCTTGTCTCTTTCTTGTACTTTTGAGACAACGCCCATTACACTCTCCATCTTCCTTGTGGAATGATGACCCCCACCTTATTCGACGTTACCGTATCACAAGGCTCAAACCAACTAAAAACACATATAACCCCGACTACATGTATGAAGATAGCATAAACTTTGCAAATTCTAGGGTAGCATATTCGACCCACATAACAAATTACCATGACAAAGACGTAAAAGAGGTATCTGATGTAGAGAACATAGCCTTCTTAGCGTTATGGCTATCACGCTCTGTCTTCTATTCGAAGTTGCTTCAAGTAGCCAATAAATTCTTAACCATGGCGAACCAACTCCATTCTAGCCATAATCTATGTTTAAGCGAACTGATTTTGGCCAGTCTTTATGAATCTATAAGCGAAGGTGTTATCCAACTTAAATGTCTAGGGGACAAAGGGAATCTCCTCCTCTATGGGGCTTTCTGACTTCTGCAACTTTGGCTGAATGCTTCATTTGAAGCTTGCCTTCCTTACAAAAATCTAATCAATGAAGATGCTGACGAAGTGAGGAACAGGATAGTCGAAGGCCCACGTTTGGCCAAATTAACTCCTAGCGACGAAGGTCGGCCTATTCAACAAACCTTCACTAGCTATATTATGATGTTTGCCAAACACTACGACTTCTCATCAAACATGGCTCCCTTCACTGCAAGGAAATATGGTCATTTTCAGCTCAGTCGAAAGCCCAAGAAGCAGAGTCCATTGCAATCTGGGAAACTTTCCTAACTCCCAGGGTTTTAACCCTCAGATACAATCTTTCAAAGAGTATGGTTACCTTGACCGCTTATCAATTCCTGCAGCTAAGAAAGCTGATATCAAGACCAAGATTGCCCTACTTCAGGTATTATATGTTGAATATGTTTGCATTGTAGGCTTTGTACTCTTCCCCCTGTTCCACCTTTGTACGTTTTTGATTGTTGTGCTTTCTTTTCTATTTGCTCACACACGAAATTCAACATATAATTTTAATATCATAATTCTTGTAGGATCAAGTGAGAAAAGCGCAAAAGCATGTTGCTGAAGAAAACAAACGTAAAGCTGTATTATTAACGGCTGAGAAGGCTGATCTAGCTGTTTCAGATGGGAAATCTTTTTGCATATCTCACGTTAATGTTGGCCTGGATGTTGCAGCAGTTCGTGAGGCTGTTACAAAAGTCATTGATCAGAAGGTATTTGCTGTTCCATAATTTATTAAGAATCTGGCTAGGTCTCCAACATTCTTTTGTATGGCCTTGTTATGTGTTAATTATGATGCATAATAGGAACTCAATTTTCATTGATGTCTGTATCACTGTATGTACAAATATGCTCCTTGAATTTGTCTTATGTAACCTTGGCAATTATATTTTCTACTAATTTCACACAATAACTGGAAGCAATGTTTACTGATAAACAGGGGTTGTCAGTGATGGTTTTTAGCACTGATGAATCTACAAACAAGGCTGTAGTTTGTGCTGGGGTGCCGGAGAAAGGAGATAAGGTAAGCTGGATGTATCAGAGTGGCTGACTAATGCTTTGGGCTACCTATATGGTGGATGATATTTTCGGCAAGCCTACAATATATAGATACTTAATACCTTACTTGCGTATTAAAAGTTTGAATTGGTTGTACCATTTTGATCACTTAAGGTGTTCATTTGAATCTTGTTGTTACCATTGAACTTGGTTAGGTAAAATGATGTTCTTTTTTAATTATATATTAAAATTTTGTTTTCAGGTTTTTGTTTTCTGATTATTGTACAATACATAATCAATATTCTTTCTATGATACAGGAAAACAAGAAGCAATGATTTTGCCTAGCTAGCTAGCAAAGTGGTTGTATCTTTGGATGTAGCAGTGATTTGGTTCGCAAAGTGGTTACTAGCTACTTGATGTTGTTTTGTTGTCCTTTCTTGTTTTTTTAGATGTTTTTTTCATTAGTTTATAGAATATGCCTAGCTAAGTGATTGTACTTTTTGTTTGGAATTTGGTTTGAAGTACTCTTAGCCAAATTAATAACTACATGACAAAATATTTTAGCTGTGTTTTTAAAATATTTTGGTCTGAAGTACTCTTAGCCAAATTAATGGTATCACATTTGTCATTATTATTTTAATTTCAAATATTTTAGCTGCTTAGTCATTATTATTTTATGAATTCTAATGTCGTAAAATGCAAATGCCATATATATATATATATATATATATATATATATATATATATATATATATATATATATATATATATATATATATATATATATATATATATATATATATATATATATATATATATACACCAAAAAAATGATTTTGTGTAAAAAAAAGTGTACTACAATAGAGTTTTGAAGAGAGAGTGCTATAATAGCGCTTTGTTTGAAAGTGCAATCAAAATTAAAACAAATTATCGGTACTATAATAGCGCTTTGTTTGAAAGTGCTATCTAATATGTACCTTATAATAGCGGTTTTGGAAAAATGCTATTAAATATCGGTACTATAATAGCGCTTTTGGAAAAACGCTATTAATTACCAGTACTATAATAGCGCTTTTAAAGCGCTATTAAAAATTTTGTTTTACAATAGTGGCTTGATTAATAGCGCTTTTAAGCGCTATCAAAAAGCAAAAAAAGCGCTATTAAATAGCTTTTTTGTAGTAGTGAATAGATACTTTGTCACGTTTATAGATGATTACAGTCGAAAGTTGTGGACTTACCTCATCAAGAAGAAAAGTGATGTGATTGAGGTATTTTCCATATTCAAGTCCGTGGTTGAAAGACAGAGTGGTCGAAAGCTGAAAATTCTGAGGACTGATGGTGGTGGAGAGTATGTATCGAAAGAGTTCGATACAATATGTGTAAAATAAGGGATTGTTCATGAGGTGGTGCCACCCTACACTCCACAGCAAAATGGGATTGCAGAACGCAAGAACAGAACCATCATGAATATGGTGAGAAGTATGTTGAATGGAAAGCATCTACCCAAAGAATTATGGGGAGAAGCAGTTTCGACAACAACATATATGTTGAATAGGTGTCTGACGAAGAAGCTTAAAGGAATCACACCAGAAGAATGTTGGTCTGGTGTCAAGCCTAGTCTCAGTCACTTAAAGGTGTTTGGATCTATAGCACATAGACATGTACCAGATAAATTGAGAAGGAAGCTTGATGATAAGTCGAATCATATGATCTTGATAGGATATCATTCGAGAGGAGGTTACAAGTTGTTCGACCCAGTGAATAAGCAGGTAGTGATTAGCACGGATGTGATCATAGATGAGCTTAAGGAATGAGACTGAACTGAGAATGCCAAGAAGGATTCAGTAAGAATCTATTGTGAAGAACCAACCACTGAAGTCGAAATAGAAGTTCGACAGGAACCAGTTGCAGATGAAACAGGTTCAAGCAGACTTCGACGAACAAGACACATGCCCGCAAGGTTGCAAGAATGTGTAATTACATCAGATGATGTAGTCGATGAAGAGGGTGAGCTGGTACATTATGCTTTCTACGCAGATGTCGAACTAGTCAATGCAGCTGAGGCATTGAAAGATTCAAAGTGGGTGAAAGCAATGATTGAAGAGTTGGAGTCCATCGAAGTAAATGATATCTGGTCACTTGTCGAATTGCCGCAAGACAAGAAGGCAATTGATGTGAAGTGGGTTTACAAGTTGAAGGTAAATCCTAAAGGAGAAGTAACTCGACACAAGGTGAGACTTGTGGTGAAAGGATTTCTTCAGAAGGAAGGAATCAACTTCGATGAAGTATTCGCACCTGTTGCTAGAATCGAAACAATCAGGTTGGTTGTTGGTCTAGCAAATATGAACAACTGGAACACATGTCAGATGGACGTGAATTGTGCATTCCTTAATGGCCCCTTAGACGAAGAAGTTTATGTTGCACAACCAGTTGGATTTGTGAAACAAGGCGAAGAAAGAAAGGTGTACAGGCTTCATAAAGCCCTGTATGGACTTAAGCAAGCTCCAAGAGCTTGGAATAAGAAAATCGACAGCTTCTTAAGGGAGAAGGAATCTGTGAAGTGTACAACTGAACATGGATTATATGTAAGAAGAAGCAATGGCGAATTGCTTATACTATGTCTCTATGTTGATGATTTGTTGATAACAGAGAGTTGCAAGAAGGAGATCGAAGACTTCAAACATGACCTGAGTAAGGAGTTTGAAATGTCAGACTTGGGAAATCTCTCATATTTCCTTGGCATCGAATTCTACAAGACAATTAGAGGTTTGATAATGCACCAAAGAAGATATGCAGGTGAAATACTCAAGAGATTTGAGATGCAAGATTGCAACCAAACTTTGACTCTAGCTGAGCCCAGGTTGCAACTGTCGAAGGATTCAGATGAAGATGATGTCGACCCAACCCAATACAGAAGACTTATTGGGTCACTTAGATACCTTTGTCACACAAGGCCTGACTTAGCATACAGTGTTGGTATGGTAAGTATATTCATGCAGAAGCCAAAGGTATCACACCTAGCAGCGGCGAAGAGGATACTGAGGTATCTGAAAGGAACTCTCGACTATGGCATTTTGTTTCCAGCAGCTGATGAAGGAAAAGAATGCAAGTTAATGGGATACACAAACTCCAGTTGGTGTAGTGATGCTGAGGATCGAAAATCCACAGCTGGGTATGTGTTTATGTTAGGTGGTGCACCAGTTGCTTGGAATTCGAGAAAGGAACCAGTAGTGGCATTGTCATCATGTGAAGCAGAATATATAGTTGCTTCTCTTTGTGCATGTCAAGCAACTTGGATGGTGAATTTGGTCGAAGAAATCACAGGAAAGAATCATGGAGCAATTACCATGAAGATAAACAGCATGTCAGCTATCAACTTGGCGAAGAACCCAATAGCTCATGGTCGAAGTAAGTACATCTAAATGAGGTTCCATTATCTTCGAGAGCAGGTAGCAGAAGGGAAGATGAAGTTGGAACACTGCAGAACTGAGAATCAGATTGCAGATATCATGACGAAGGGAATGCAGGTCAAAGCCTTCAGAAGACTAAGAGCCATGATGAATGTAGACAGTTTAGACACAATGAATTAGCTGGTGTGTTAAATGTAATTAATTGTTTTGATTTGATTTGATATGATTTAGATTATATTTGATTTTGAGTATTTTGGGCCTTTTATGTTTTGGGCTTGTGTAAACCTTATTTTGGGCCTTTTATGTTTTGGGCTTGTGTAAACCTAAAACTATAAATAGGGTGTCTTGCTTTGTATTCAAAACAGAACAGTATTCCCAGTTGCAGTGTTAGCAAGTGAAGGTTCAATAAAATCAGAAATCCCACAGTTTGTGGGTAACTCAATTTTCTCTCATTCTTCTCTTTCTTGTTGTTTGCTATTCTTCCTCTCTTTTGTTGTTCTTGATAACTCTTTACTTGTTATCACCATTACTACCATATTGTGGGTTTGTTCATCAATCTTGAGATCAAGATTGAAGGGAATTCTTCATAGGGTGTGAGGTAAATTTCCAACAAGTTTGACATCCTGTCTATCAGCAGAGTTTGATATTTGAAAAGTTATAGTTGTATCTCAACTTTCCTTTGACATCATGTCAATGTTTAACCAAATAGTATGGATATTGTCATTTCAAATGTTTATCAATTATGAAATCAAAGTCTTTTTACAATAATATTATAAGAGATATGAAAAGCTAGAATTCGACATTACTTCTAATATAAAATTTGACTTTGTGAGACTTATCTTTTACAATTTTCAAATGATCCTTGATAAACTTATTGCAAAACTGAATTTTAAGTTTTATACAAAGAAAAAATGATGATTCAGTTAATGCTTCCCTTATTTTTAAGTGCTACATCACTAAAATAACTCACTTCTTTTTGTGCTTGAATAAATTTTAAGATACACATAATTAACTTAATGTAAGCATATGAAATGTGAGACACCATATACATGAATGAATTAACAACTTCTGAGGATTGCAGACAACTATAACATTGTTTTTTACTTTCAATGATTTGCCATAGTATAAAACTAATGTAGGCATATGAAATGGGAAGCAGAATCATGCTACCTTACACATTTTACCTGTGCATGATAAACGACTGATTGAATAGTTCATTATAGTGTGAAAAACCAACACATAAACTTTGTTATACATTTGAATATTATAGGATAAATGAACAACATTTGTTCATTAATGATGATTACATGCTGAAAGGAACAGTTTCAGAGATTTAGTATTTTGAAAACTAAACAGTCAAAACGTTTCAAACGGTTTACACAACAGGAGCTTGATTTCCACTTCATTCATAATGAAACCAATACTACTTTTTCACCCAATAGGATTTCAATATCAAAACTCACTACAACATGTTCCAACCAACAACGTATCAATAAAATTGTTATTAAAGGTAAAAGAATTGATGCAATATTACAAGGAACACATCTGATATAATCAACACTTTGTATTGGTACACCACACATGTATAATTTCTAAGATATCGTAAAGTAATACTATGTTTATCATTTCCAAGATATCGTG